ACTTTAGTACCAAGCCTAGTTTTATATTTTTAAGTTCCAAGAACAATGGTTGGTTGCTTGCTTTCTTGCTTTCCAATGTTGTCATTATTTCCTGAGATCTTTCTATTCCAGATGTTTTATGGAGAAATAAATAATACAAGCTAATCAGGCCATAAAGACCAAGCTGGGAAAACTTAACAGAGCTCCCTACTATGCAAACTCCTGTGAGCATCTAATATGTCTGTTAATCTGAATGTGAGCTGCATTAACCTGAAGAGGTATTAACATAAGAAACTAAGAAGTCTTGGGGGGGGGGGATGCATTATACTTAAGAATTTTTTAAAATCTCCACTGTGGGAAAGAACCTGCCTGCCTATTTCCTCTCCAAATTTGGGGAAATAATAGTAATATTTTAACTTTAATGAGCTTCACATCCATGATTCAGGGAGAATTGGTGATGAACTGAGTTCACAGAGATGATGTTCAAAGAAGATCCAGGCATCCAAAAAGTTCTGACATAATATGCATGCGTAAAACCAAAGTCTGCTACTTTTTCTGAGGATTTAAGATTTGATTCATCTATCTTTAAGTATAGTTCTATAATGTGCAGTCCTTACACTTTTTCTATTTTAAGTTATGATTGACCAAAAGCACCGTTTTCCTTAGCTATGACTCTGGCTGCTTTGGTGGAAGCCCTTGCAGATACATCAGCCCCACTGAAATGCGGAGTCAGAGCCTTCTGCAAAGGTGGACAGAGCTCACCTGTCTGAGCCCTGCCTTTCTTGTAGGGAAAGTCAGAGTTAGAAGCTCCAGCTCCTACGGGGTGGGCTCCTTTGCATTCACCCTTTCGTGGCTCACTTTTGCAGCCCTGAGACTGGCTGATAAGAGACCAACCAGGAAATAGCTCTTTTGGATTGTGTGTATGTCTTTTTTTTTTTTTTTTTTAATGTGTTGCTTATATTGATTTTTTACAGAGAGGAAGGGAGAGGGATAGAGAGTTGGAAACATCGATGAGAGAGAAACATCAATCAGCTGCCTCCTGCACACTCCCCACTGGGTATGTGCCTGCAAGCAAGGTACATGCCCTTGACCGGAATTGAACCTGGGACCCTTGAGTCTGCAGGCCGACGCTCTATTCACTGAGCCAAACCTGTCTGTGTATGTCTTTTTAGCTTTAAATATAGTGTTTAGCAGAGAGAAAGAGAGAGAAAGACACACACACACACACACACACACACACCAAAGAAGAGATGCCCTTATACTGCCCCCTAATGGAGAACCAAGTGGGAAGAACCAAGGTGAGAACTAGGAAAAAGCCATGAGCAGATGGTTTTGACCTATTTCTCTGAATTTGGAGACAAAAATATTTGCCCCTTCTGTTTACATACTTTTCCTTGAGTTTATCTTTCCTTATATTGGAGTAGTAAGATATAGAAGACTTAAGTTAGCATGTTAGCTTACCTGGATGGAGACCAAGTAATTCTTCAACCTGCTTTTATGTAATTTTAATCAAGAGGCCCACAAGGAATCCAAGTATTCCCTTCAGAAGACAGCCAAGTTCTCCATTGCTGAGGTTTTGGCACCAAGATCATCACTAAATATGGAATTCCCAAAATCAGATATGGTGAAATTAGCAGTTCTACGAGCTCCCCCAAGTCTCTTCCTGTTTTTGAGCAGGACCTTTTGATCCCAAGGACCTACTTTGTTTTTCACTCTTTAGAGAAACCTTGGAAATAGGTCAGTTTTCTCATATACTAACCAAAAATTAAATCTTACCCATCAGCCTTTATTCAGTCAGTTATAATGAACATTACCAGCTGATATATTCAAAACAGCTAAAACTGCACATGTTTAAAAATTAATTGAAGAATGAAATCTTGACAAAATTTAAGTGAAAATTTTGGCTTGGGAAATTTGAATTTAGCAGGTATAGTGGCCACAAGAGAACTCAGTAGCAGAAGATACCATTGGTAAAATTTGAAATGAACTCCAAATTGACAATAAATACCTATTATAAGTGTATAAAAAAACCTGGATCCCAATGAACATAATTACAATAAAATGGAAATGCACTGCATAGTAAATTGATCCAAGAATTAAGTTGGCTTAATGGAGTTGCTTCAGAGAATTTCTTGATGAAAATTCACCATTGTTAGCCCAGTTTGTTTTTATTAATCCTCACTGAGGATATTTTTCCATTGCTTTTTAGAGAGAGTGGGAGGGAAGAAGGGAAGGGGGAAGAGAGAGAAACATCAATGTGAAACTCTCACATCCATTGGTTGCCTCCCACACACCCAGTGCATGGGCTAACGCTCTAACCACTGAACACACCAGCCAGGGCCCAGTTAGAAATTTATGATCAGATCATCCTGTGAGGTTACTTTCATAGGACTTCTATTTTTGTCCACACTCTGTGATCATCCTCCCCCAAACCCATAATCCCCATCTACCCAAGTAAATAACATCAGACAAATCCCATTGAGGGACAGTCTACAAAATACGACTGGCACTCCTCAAAAACTGTTAGTTATCAAAACCAAGGAAAGTCTGAGAAACTGTCACAGACCAGAAGACGCTAGGAGATATGACAAGTGAATATAATATACCCCACATAGGATCCCGGAGCAGAAAAAAAGAACATTAGGGGGGGAAAATAGTAAAATGCAAATAAACTGTGGAGTTTGATTAAACTGCCAGAAGAGATTAGCAAGAGAAAAGAGATTTTTATTCACATACTTATACAGTAGTTCACAGAAAAATATGACTCAAGGGGTCAGTAAGAATTTGGGGCTTATACACCATGGCTGGGGATGGGAGCCTGCAACCAAAGTACAAGGCTTGTGCCCTTGACCAATATCGAACCCGGATCTTTCACTCTGCAGGCTGGTACTATCCACTGAGCAAAACCAGCTAGGGAAAAACTATCTTATTTCCCATCTTACTTTCAAGTATTAAAAAAATGTAGCCAAGTCTTTAAAATTCCCATCTTACATCTGCCTTAGAGCTCCCCTCCTCCCCCTAGGTTGGGCTCAGAGACTGCCTCCTCCTCTTCTACACCTGCCTCCAGCCGGTTGGGGCAGGAGGAGGGGCTTGGGATCAGGGTGCAGAGTTTTTCCTTGGTTGGGATTGACTGTGGCTTTCTGCACTGATCCCCAAAGGGTCCTGAGGCGGGAAATAATTTGGCATATTTAAGGAACTGAAAACATCCAGAGGAGGGAAAAGGGAGAGACTGGCAGTCTGCCCTCCAGCACCTCTAGGCACACATAGGCACAAATGATTTTACGTAAAGGGGATCATACTACATGTGCTGTTACCAACCAGTTTTGTTTTTCACGCAATGTAAATGACCAAGAATTGGCAAAGTTTGTTTTTTTTAATCCAATTTTTGCAAGGGAGAGAAAAAAATGTTGGTGGCTGCTTGAAATGCTAATTAGTATAAGCTTCCCCAAATGAAGTGTGTCAGTCACAAAAGAATGGGCAGAGAAGAGGGCCTGGAATGAGGTCCGCAAAAGCACCAACATTTAAAAAGTGGGCAGATGAAACTCTGCAAGGGAGAAGGGGAAGGAGTAACCAGAAAAGTAGTAGGGAAAATTGGCAGTTGTGGTGCCAGCGAAGCCCAAGGAACATCATTGAAGGGAGAGAGACAGGAAAGGTAAAAACTGAGAAGATCCTTGCGGTGCAGCAACATAGATGTGGAGATGATGCTCCAGGGAGTCTTTTAAGGCAGTCACTGAGCTGGGTCTGGAGGCAAGCAGGATCCCACAAATGGCAATGGGGCGGGGGGTCGGGAACACCATTCCAACCGCAGGACCAGTCGGTGCAAGAGCAGGACCCAGCGAGTAAGAAAAGCGAGACTTACTTAGGGATTTCTTCCCGGCTTCCCCGCTCCCTGTCCATCCAGGCTTAGGCAGTGAGGTAGGCAATGGCAGCAAACAGCCAGGCGCAAGCCCGCCCGGCTCATCCGCAGCAGCTCCGCCTACGACCGGTAGAGTGCGCTCTCCACGGAGCCTGGCGGGCTCGCGGCCGGACTGCGCCTGCGCGAGGCTTGCGCCGCGGCCGAAAGGGGAGGCCTGTCCCACGCCTGCGCACTCGGAGTAAGATGGCGGCGGCGGCGGCCCGGCTGGGCTGGGGAGCTGCGGCCCGTGCCGCCGGGTTACGCAGGCGGTAGGTGACAAATCCCGAGCTCCGGGTAGGGATGCCTCTGGGTTTAGCCAGCAGAGCGGTGACGGCGCTGCCCACTCCCTCGGACGGAGTGGTGACAGGTGCCTCCGACCGAGCCTTTGGGCCGCCCCCGTCGCCGTATTGGGTTGAGCCCTGGAGTGGGCGTCCCTCCCGCGGCAGCTCCGAGCCCCCAGTTGGGGTGGGCTCTGCGCTGCCTGGCCCCGGGCTTGGGACCTCGTGCCTGAGTCCCTGCGGAGGGGAGGTTTGCAGAGCCTGGCTGTAGAGACCCAACGCAAGAGCTATTTTTATATTTATTTATTTTTTAATCTTTATTGTTGAAAGTATTACATATGTTCCCCCCACCATTGACCCCTGCCGCCCCACAGCTATTTTTAAATCGTGTGGCCCCTCTAGCATTTCACCACGTGCATGCCATCCTTTGCCTTTTATTTATGTTTATTTCTCAAGAATGTTTTTGATTTCAGAGAGGAAGGGAGAAGGCGAGAGAGGAACATCAATGATGAGAGAGAATCACTGATGGGCTTCCTGTTGCTCGCCCCTCCCCGGGGATGCAGCCCTGTGGGCAGGTGCCCTGCGGCCATGGAGCCTGGACCTCCTGGTTCCTAGGTCCCTGCTCAGCCACTGAGCCACGCCTGCGGCCCTCCTTTGGCTTTTAAACATGAAAAGTCAGAATGTCGTAAAATAATACCTCCTCTCATTTCTCCATTTTCCCGGTGAGGCCCAGAAAGGGGGTAACCCGTCTGAGGTCGCACAGCATCCAAGTGGTGGCACTCAGAACCCAGACCCCTGCATTCCCCCCATCGCTTACACCCACCACGAGCCCTTGTCTCCCCCGGCCCTGCCCTTGCCAGTGATAATCTGCCAACATGGGTTAGGTGAGAGGCACTGAGGAGCTAAGTAGGTGCACCCCAATTTCGCTTATGGAACAAAAGGAGAAAAGGACCCAATGGGATTTGATCTCATTTTAAGGAGTTTTAGTGGTAAGGATGCTCTTGAAGCTTAAATGCATTTCTAAAAAAAGAATTAAGTTTGTAGAAGGACTTTTTGTTAGTTACCTATCTCTCTTATATTTGAGTCATTCCTATCTATCTATCTATCTATCTATCTATCTATCTATCTATCTATCTATATAAAAGGGTAATATGCTAATTAGACTAGACATCCTTCCTGACAAAGCCGGGGCTGGAGGGAAGACAGCCTGGGTCCCCGGTGCCTGCCGGCAGCCGGAGGAGGGAAGCCCGGGTCTTGGGTGCTGGAGGGAAGCCGGCAGGGGAAGGAAGGCCTACTCTTGCACAAATTTTTGTGCACCAGGCCTCTAGTTACATAATAATAATGGTAGCTAACATTTATTGAACACTAACGACATGGCCTAGTGCAGCCGTGGGCAAACTACGGCCCTCGGGCCGGATCCTGCCTGTTTGAAATGAATAAAACTAAAAAAAAAAAAAAAAAAGACCGTACCCTTTTATGTAATGATGTTTGCTTTGAATTTATATTAGTTTACACAAACACTCCATCCATGCTTTTGTTCCGGCCCTCCGGTCCAGTTTAAGAACCCATTGTGGCCCTCGAGTCAAAAAGTTTGCCCACCCCTGGCCTAGTGGCACTGTTTTAAAGCACTTTACATGGATTATTTGGATCCATCTTTGCCCCAGTCTTTGTAAGATAGCTGTGAATATTAAATTCATTTTAGGGATGAAGAACTGAGGCCGTGATACTAGCTGCTCCAGGGACAGAAATGAAGACAGTCCTTCCCATGAATGAGTTTGCAAGTGAAAATAATCAGATGTTTATGCTAAGTGAAGCCAATTTGAGAAAGACAAATATCACATGATTTCACTTATTTGTGGAATCTAATGAACAAAATGAATTGACCAATAAAATAAGACCTGAAGCATGGAGGAATGGAACGGACTGACATACCTTGATGTAGGGTTGGGATGACTGGAAGAGATAAATCAAAGAACTTATTCCTTATATTCATAGCCCATGGACATCAGCAATAGGGTGGAGAAGATCTGGGGGGTGGGTAGGAGCCAGGAGGACAGGGTAAAGGGGGGTAAATGGGAGACGTGGAATACTATCAACAATTAAAAAATATACATAAAAAGTAATCAGATGTTAAAAACAAAAAGTGATCATATATATGCTTAAAATTCCTCAGTGATTTCTGTGAAATGAAAATTGTAATATTTTACAGTAAACTACATTTCAAAAACTTATATCAGCTTTCTAAAATTTTCACTACTAAAGTCTCCTTTTATTTCTTTTCCAGTAATAATGTTTTTCCCCTTTCTCCTTGTTTTTATTTTATTATTTTTTTAAATCCTTACAGGAGGAGTAAGGATATTTTTTCCATTGATTTCTAGAGAGAGTGGAAAGGGAGGAGGGCAGGACAGGAGAGAGAGAAACATCAATGTGACAGGACACATCAAGTGGTTGTCTCTCTACTGGGGATTAGACCTGCATCCCAGGTACACCCTTGACCTGAATGGAACCTGTGACCTCTGGTGAGCAGGCTGATGCTCTAACCACGGAGAACACCGGCCAGATCTCTCCTTGTTTTTAATTTGTCAAAGGCATGCAAAAATAGCCAATGAACACTTCCTCTATTGTAATGTAATAGTCAAAGTTACAGGACTAATATGCTTCCAGTCAAAAATGGTGTCTTCTTTAGCAGTTTATACTTTCTGCTAGACTTTTTGAAATATTGAAATACCTTTCAAACTGTATAGTATAGGTTATCTCTTTCTAGGGAAATGTGGTAGAAACAGAAAAGAAGGAGGACTTTTCACTGTATTTTCTTTTTTCCTTTTAAATTTGGAACCATGTGAGTCTATTACCTCATCTAAAAAAATTGTAAAATAAGGGGAAAAAACAGTTTGTAGTTCTTTGCCTCCTTCACTCATAACTTAATTACGAGTCTGGAACTTGAGGTTATGAATCACCAGTGTAGATATATTTGTTTCTAACAGCAGATACTGCACTATCCTGTGTGCACTCGGTTATCAAGGATATAAATTTCCTCTTGAGCTCTTGTTTTTAAATTGTAGCTATTCTTGCCTGAGGAAGTAGAAGTAGTGTTGTAGATAGAAAAATGAAAACTTGGCTTTTTTGGTTTTTTCATTATAGTTTTTTATGTATGAGAAGTAGAAACAACTTAAAGATTCTTAAAATGTCATTTTTATTTGTTTTTAAATGTAGGTTATATGACATGATGAATCCATACACCATTAAGAAACAGCCTCTGCATCAGTTTGTACAAAGACCACTTGTCCCACTATCTGCAGCCTTATGTAACACAGGTAAAATTTCACCTCTTTCAGAGCAGTTGTGTTTCAGAAGCTAATGAAAGTGCTTGGATGAAATTTTGTAGGTCATAAAAGGTGAGAATTTGTAAATTTTATCTTCAGATGCCTATAAAAGAATATAACTTTTTTCCTATCATAACATCACGCTTTGCTGTAATTATTTGATTACACATATCATTGGTATTACATTTCAAGAATCCTAAGCACAGTGTCCAATAGAGCTATGAAATTTCAGTATCTTGTATAACACATCCTCTGAAACATAGGAGTTGCTTAATAAATGATTTCTGAGATGAAAATACGGTAAAAAGAAGTTACAAATGAATTTGTGTTTCAAAGAATCATTGGTATTTTAAGTTCTTACCATTCTTATTTTTATAAGAATACCTCTAAAGCCGGTAAATCTCTAGCTTTCATCCACACCATAGAACGTAGTATTTTGAATGTATTTTTTCTTTTTTTTCTGGTCAAAATAAGTGGGTTTTTTGGGTTTTTTTGACAATCTGATTGGTATTATATGCTTTTATTTTCTTTAATATTGGAAATAGGTATGAGGATAGGATTTGAAAATTATTTAAATACTAGAGGCCCGGTGCACAAAAATTTGTGCACTCGGGGGAAAGGTGGGGGTCCCTCAGCCCGGCCTGTGCCCTCTTGCAGTCTGGGACCCCTCGGGAGATAACGACCTGCTGGCTTAGGCCTGCTCCCGGATAGCAGAGGGCAGGCCCATTCCCTAGGTGTAGCCCTTGGTCGGGCTCAGAGCAGGGCTGACTGGGGAGTTGGGGTGCCACCCCTGTCATGCACAGAGCAGGGTGGATCAGGAGGTTGCGATGCCACCCTCAGTCACGCTCAGGGTAGAGCCAATTCGGGGGTTGGGGCACCGCCCCGTCACACTCAAGGCAGGGTCGATGGGGAGGTTGCTGCGCCACCCCCTGTCACACACAGAGCAGGGCCAATCCGGGGGTTGGGGAGCTCCCCCCTGTCACGCACAGAGCAGGGCCCATCAGGGGGTTGAGGAGCTCCCCCCTGTCACTCACAGAGTAGTGCCGATAGGGGATTTGGGGTACCGCCCCCTGTCACACACAGAGCAGGGCGGATCAGGGGGTTGGGGCGCCGCCCTCTATCACCCACAGAGCAGGGCCGATCAGGGGGTTGGGGTGCTGCCCCGTCACACTCAGGGCAGGGCCGATGGGGAGGTTATGGCTCTACCCCATCACACACAGAGCAGGGCCCGTGGGGTGGGGGGGTTGGGGCGCCGCCCTCTATCGCACTCAGGGCAGGGCCGATGGGGAGGTTATGGCTCTACCCCGTCACACACAGAGCAGGGCCCGTGGGGTGGGGGGTTGGGGCGCCACACCCTGTCACACAGAGCCGCAGGGCGATCAGGAGGTTGGGGAGCTCCCCCCTATCAGGCACAGAGCAGGGCCGATCAGGGGGTTGGGGCGCCTTCCCCTGTCAGGAACAGAGCAGGGCCCATAGGGAGGTTGTGGCCCCGCCCCCTGTCACACACAGAGCCACAGGGCGATCAGGGGGTTTGGGCGCTGCCCCCTGTCATGCTGATCCCGGTGCCGGGAGACCTCACGGCTCCGCTGATCCCGGTGCTGGGAGGCATATTACCCTTTTACTGTATAGAATAGAGGCCTGGTGCATGGGTGGGGGCTGGCTGGTTTGCCCTGAAGGGTGTCCCGGATCAGGGTGGGGGTCCCCACTGGGGTGCCTGGCCAGTCTGGGTGAGGGGCTGAGGGCTCTTTTCAGGCTGGGACTGAAGCTCCCAACTGCTCCTTTTTTTCTTTTTCTTTTTTTTTTTTTATTCTGAGCCAGCTTTAGCTCTGAGGCTCCAGCTCTTAGGCCTCCGCTCCTGAAAGCAGGTATCTGGTTTGTTTAGGTTCTACAATCGAAACTCTGTATCAACTCCAGGTCTGAGATCCCGGCTAGCTGAAAGCTGGTTTCTGGGGTTTTATTTAGCTTCTATTTTTGTAACTATGTTTCAAACTGCCAGCTCAGAGGCCTGCAGCGGCAGGCGGGGAACGTTGGAGTCCTCCCTCACTGAAGCAAGCAAGCCTCATGTTAGTTTCAAGCTGCCTGGCTGCCGGTGGCCATGTTGGCTGGCAGTTAATTTGCATATCTCGCTGATTAGCCAATGGGAAGGGTAGCGGTTGTATGCCAATTACCATGTTTCTCTTTTATTAGATAGGATGACCACTGTCATGTCATATTGGGAGGAGCTATTGTGTGGCTATGGAAACTTGGGAGGAAAGGGCAGATATGTGTGTGTAAAATACCTATCTGCATGTGCTTATGGAGCTGTAATAGTGGATTCAGCTCCTGGCTCATCTCCATTTCCTTCACTGCCTTGAACACCTCCTGTAGCCATACTCTGGAAGGTGACTGACTGGCTAATGGCATGAGCTGGATTAGGTTACAGACCACATCTCCCCTGTGTACTGGAGCAAGACCAGGAGTACCTTGCCTCTCTTCTTGAATCACAGAATAATTTAGGTATAAATATTGAGTATCTCAACATATTAAGATACTTTATTGGACTTTAAATTTTTGTGGGACTGAATTATGTGGTCACCTAGGATTTCTAAATTGGAGAGCTGCTGATTTTAGTCTTTTATACTGACTTTAAGCACCATTAATGTGTTGTTTTGGAGGAACTTATGCCTAGCTATTTACCTATCAGTGCCAAGCATAATAGGAACAATTATTTTAGATCAGTCTTTCTATCCTGGTGTAACCCTTATGACACTTTCAGGGGCAACTTTCTGGATGATGAACCTGGGAATCATTTTTTAATTAAATCCAATTTAGACCATAATTGGAATGATTGTTAATACCCAGTCAAATCACTTTTTTGAAATAGCTTTGTTCATTGTCAAAAGAAAATTTATATAGTGATGTCATATATTCTTTTCTACGTCAGATTTTGCTCTCAACGAATTTTTTTATACTTATGGTTCTTACCTTCAAGTATTTCTAAACATTTTTCTTCCTGTATGTATAGTTTTACATAAATGGATTGAGTAGAGTAAAAGCCAGATTTAATTCTGCAAATATTGGAAGAGTGCCTAATGTGTGTGGAGCTTTTGGCTACCAATAAATTATTAAGAAAGGTCGCAAGAAATGATTGGTCAGAACCACAGTTAGAAGAACCTTGTTATCTTTATATTTGCAGGAAGCCCTTTTTTTTAATGTTCCATCTGAAAAATTGTTTCCTTGTAACACATATTTTCAGAGGCATTTATTGGTTAGAGGTATAAATATTTTAAACCAAGCACTTGAACATTGAGGATATCGTTCAGAATTTTTCTCTTCTGTAGGACTTGTCTGGTCACCAAGTCACCAGCTGATATTTTATAGGACAGTGACTTAAATAAGTGAAATGTATGGAGTTTTAGTTTTAATTTCTACTTCACCAAGGAAATGACTCAACATCAGTTAGCTGGAACTGTACGGCAAGGTGCAAAAACAGTTCTTCAGCTGTCAAGTTAGAATCTTGTAAGAAAAGCACTTTCATAACAACCATATGTTTTGCCAGATTTAACCTCTAATTTAAAATAAAACTTGCCTTTTTTATATTTTCCTATCTTTTCTAGGATGTGTGGTATGAGGATTATAGGAAGATTGATTTTATATATATTTTCCTATTTCCTATTATGCTTGGCATTGATAAGTATGGAGTGGCACTGTGCACAATGGTTAAGCAAGTCAGTGCTGGAAAATTGGCAGTTTTATCACTTTAAATAGCTGAGTGACATTGAGCTTTAGTTTCCTCATTTATAAAATAGGATAAAAACTACTTCCTTGGCAGAATGTGAGGAGTAAGTGATATAATTCATGTGGAATGCTTAGCATCATGCCTAGCACATGTTTTTGTTTATTTTGTTTTTGAATTTATTGATTTTAGAAAGAGGGAGGAAAGGGAGAAAGAGACAGAGATAGACATTGATTCATTGTTTCATGTATCCAGGCTCTCACTGGTTTTGTATTGAACCCACAACCTTGGTGCATCGGATGATGTTCCAACCCACCAAGCTACCTGGCCAGGGCCCAGCACATGTTAATAACCTAGTGAATTAACCTATTTCAGTATACTGCTCTAAGATGAGAATTGGTGTTTTTTGGTCAGAAGGTGTGTTTTCATAATAAATAGTAAAGGCCTGTTCAATAGTTTTAAAACTGTTAAAACCCCAGTACTATCTATCTATCCTTTTGTCTTACAAGCTGTTGTTATATTAACAAGGTAGGGAATTAAAGATTTTGTTCTTTATTGCTTTAATGAACTCATTCTCAATCTAATCATGGCCCTAGAAGAAAGAAAAGAACCTATAACAACAATATTTTTGTTGTTGTTAATCTTCACCTGAGGATATTTTTTTCCATTAATTTTTATTGAGTGTGTAAAGGGAGGGAGGGAGAGAGAGAAAGAGAGAAACATCGATGTGAGAGAGATGCATTGATTGGTTGCCTCCCACACTAACCCTGACTGGGCCTGGGGATCAAACCTGCAACCCACATAGGTGCCCTTGAACAGGAATCAGACCTGTTGGTCCTCGAGCTGATGTTCTAACCACTGCACAGTCTGCCAGGGCTGAAAAGATAATTTTTAAGTATTCCAGAAAGTAAGTCACATAGATTCCCACTTACATGATAATTTCTAGTGTCACTAATTCTATACCACTTTTTGGTCAGTTACTTAACTCTTTGTAACACGTTACTTATCTGTAAGCCTCAGTTTCTTCATTTGTAAAATGGGAATAATAGTATCTTCTTCATAGGTTGTTAAAGGCTTAATTACATTTAAAGCACTGGACCCACCCTGGCCGGTTTGGCTCATTTGGGCATCGTTCCAGACACTGAAAGGTTGCTGGTTCAATTCCTGGTCAGGGCACATGCCCTGGTAATGGGTGTGCAAGAGGTAGCCAACTGATATTTCACTCTCACATTGATGTTTTTCTCTCTCTCCATCTCCTCTTGCTCTCTCTAAAAATCAGGTTTTTTTAAAAAAAGCACTCAACTCAGTCCCTGGCATGTAACTACTAAGCACACAATAAGTAGTAGTTATTATTATAAATTTTTGTCTTTAAAAGGCTGGTAGTACTTTGGAAGAAGAGAATGTAACATTTTACTGTATTAATATCACAGTGATGATGATTTATGATTATGATAGCCATTGGTTTAAGTCACCAAATAGAATACATATATGATTCCTGAATTATAATATATATATACCTTTCTACTTAAGTATAGGATATTACTAGAATCTGTTGAGTAGTAAAACTATCTAAATAATCAAAATTAATACAAAATTCAATGCATTCAATGCAGTTATCCTAAATATATTTGTAAATTGCCTTCTTGTCTTTAAAAATTATTATTTTGTCAGTTTGGACAGTAAAGTCTTATTTTCTTTTTACTGACTTTTCTTACTTCTTTGGTTCTCTGAAAATGAGCATTTCATAGTCCATAAATTGTTAACTACTTTATTTTCCAGATTAACATTATTTCTTCTTTTTTTTCTCTTTTAGTGAGACACATGTTTATTCAAACACAAGATACCCCAAATCCCAACAGTTTAAAGTTTATTCCTGGAAAACCAGTTCTTGAGACAAGGACCATGGATTTCCCCACACCAGCTACAGCATTTCGCTCCCCTCTGGCTAGGTATATTACTAGTTTTCACTTGCTTTTACCAAGAAACGTAATTAACTGACTTTGCGGTTAAGGCAGCTTTATTTAGCTATTGCATTTTTATGTGCACTGCATTTTTTTCAGAGGATACTTCCTTTTCATATAAGGGGTAAAAAACTAAGAATTGATATTAGGAAAGTCTTCTCCTGAAAAGTGATGTATTGAGAGATCTGTATCAAGCTATATAATAAAAGCCTAATATGCTAACTGTCCGGTCATCTGGACCAATCAAAGCATAATATGCTAAAGCTCGCTATGACGTGCATTGACCACCAGGGGCCAGATGCTCTGACTGGTAGGTTAGCTTGCTGCTGGGGTACGGCTGATTGGGACTGAGCGAGATGGGCTGGACATGCCCTGGAGCCCTCCCGAGTCCCTCCCCGGCCCCGATTGTGCACTGCTGGGGTCCCTCGGCTTGGCCTGCGCCCTCTTGCAATCTGGGCTAAGGGACCTCTTCCGCCCCCCCCCCCCAGCCCACCCCAGTGCACAAATTTTGTGCACCGGGCCTCTAGTGACGATATAAAAATTTATATCTTTACTTAAGAAAAATAATCCATCAAAATGATAATATGGTTAATTTCTATTCTAAATCTTTATTTTTTAAAATATATTTTATTGATTTCAGAGAGGAAGGGGGAGGGAGAAAGAGATAGAAACATCAATGATGAGAGAGACTAGGGGGTGCACCAAGGAAGCATAACAAAATGCGGAGACAAAGAAACAGGACAAAATTGTCAATGGAAGATATAGAGTTCAGAACCACACTTTTAAGGTCTCTCAAGAACTGTTTAGAAGCCGTCGATAAACTTAATGAGATCTACAAGAAAACTAATAAGACCCTCGATCTTATATTGGGGAACCAACTAGAAATTAAGCATACACGGACTGAAATAACGAATATTATACAGACTCCCGACAGCAGACCAGAGGAGCGCAAGAATCAAGTCAATGATTTGAAATGCGAGGAAGCAAAAAACACCCAACCGGAAAAGCAAAATGAAAAAAGAATCCAAAAATGCGAGGATAGTGTAAGGAGCCTCTGGGACAGCTTCAAGCGTACCAACATCAGAATTATAGGGGTGCCAGAGGATGAGAGAGAGCAAGATATTGAAAACCTATTTGAAGAAATAATGACAGAAAACTTCCCCCACCTGGTGAAAGAAATGGACTTACAGGTCCAAGAAGCTCGGAGAACCCCAAACAAAAGGAATCCAAAGAGGACCACACCAAGACACATCATGATTAAAATGCCAAGAGCAAAAGATAAAGAGAGAATCTTAAAAACAGCAAGAGAAAGAAACTCAGTTACCTACAAGGGAATACCCATACGACTGTCAGCTGATTTCTCAACAGAAACTTTGCAGGCCAGAAGGGAGTGGCAAGAAATATTCAAAGTGATGAATACCAAGAACCTACAACCAAGATTACTTTATCCAGCAAAGCTATCATTCAGAATTGAAGGTCAGATAAAGAGCTTCACAGATAAGGAAAAGCTAAAGGAGTTCATCACCACCAAACCAGGATTATATGAAATGCTGAAAGGTATCCTTTAAGAAGAGGAAGAGGAAGAAAAAGGTAAAGATACAAATTATGAACAACAAATATGCATCTATCAACAAGTGAATCTAAGAAAAAAAAAAGAAAAAAGGCAGGCTCAGCCGAAACCGGTTTGGCTCAGTGGATAGAGCGTCGGCCTGCGGACTGAAAGGTCCCAGGTTCGATTCCGGTCAAGGGCATGTACCTGGGATGCGGGCACATCCCCGGTGGGGGATGTGCAGGAGGCAGCTGGTCGATGTTTCTCTCTCATCGATGTTTCTGACTCTCTATCTCTCTCCCTTCCTCTCTGTAAAAAATCAATAAAATAAAAAAAAAAAAAAAAAAAAAAAAAAGGCAGGCTCTGATCGGCCCTGATTGCCGGCCAGGCCTAGGGACCCTACCCATGCATGAATTTCGTACACCAGGCCTCTAGTACATAAATAAACATGGCACTTTACCTTGGGGGGGAAAAAAAAAAAAAAATGATGAGAGAGAATTATCGATCGGCTGCATGCCCCCTACTGGGGATCAATCCTGCAACCCAGGCATGTGACCTGACTGGGAATTGAACTGTGACCCCCTGGTTCATAGGTCGAAGCTCAACCAACTGAGCCACATGGACCAGGGCTCCATTCTAAATCTTTAAAACTGTTTTTAATAAGGAATGAAAGCTTACTTGTTTAATTCTTAAGGATAGCTGAATTTCTAGATGTCTCAAATGGAGTCACTTAGAAAATATTCCACTCACAACTATAAATTATAATAGTTATCAGATATGGGATGATTTAAAAACAAAACAAAACTATTCAGTTAAGTCCTGGCTGGCGTGGCTCACTAGGTTGGAGTGTCGTCTGTGATTTCCCAGGAGGCATATACCAGGTTGTAGGTTCGATCCCCAGGAGGCAACACATCGATGTTTCTCTTTTTTTCTCCCTTCCTCTCCTTAAATCAATTAAAAAACCAAACTACTCAGTTGAGACAGTTTTTAAATTCACTGAGCAGAGACAAGTTAAGTATATATCAGACGATAAAGCATAAACAATAAAGTCATTGGAATGTAACTCTTTTTAGCTGATAGCTAAAGAAATTTATAATAAGAGTCAGTATCAATTGACATTTTTAGTAAGCTGTGCCTGATACTGATTACCGAGGATATTTGGAAAATATCACTTAAATAATTTTCTCCATATATACCCTTTTTTTAAATCTCATTTAGGGGGGTCAGAAATATGCTTATCTCAAGAATGGTTTTTAAAATCTCTAATTAATAAAAATACATATCTCCTTGACCTAAACATGCTGCTTGTCAGAATATACCTTAGAGCATTTGTTTTTTATAATTTTTTGATTCAAACCACAATAAGAAATGTTTTATGTTATGACTCAATACACACATCACATACACATAGATATACAGGTATCCATATATATGTGAACATAGACACACACAATATATATATATGTACACATATATGTGTATGTTTGTATGAAACAAGTGTTTGATGGGACATTTTCGCCCTTTCGATGTGTGATGCATTCTTATATTTTGTTTCTTCTTTTTATTCTGTTCTGTTTTATTAGATAAAATTTTCGTCACTACATAATTGATTTCACAACCTGCTGGTGGGCTTGAAAAATACTCTCTAGAGCAGCGGTTCTCAACCTGTGGGTCGCGACCCCTTTGGGGGTCAAATGACCCTTTCACAGGGGTCGCCTAAGACCATCGGAAAACACATACATAATTACATATTGGTTTTGTGATTAATCACTATGCTTTAATTATGTTCAATTTGTAACAATGAAAATACATCCTGCATATCAGATATTTACATTACGATTCGTAACAGTAGCAAATTTCAGTTATGAAGTAGCAGCGAAAATAATTTTATGGTTGAGGGTCACCACAACAGGAGGAACTGTATTAAAGGGTCGTGGCATTAGGAAGGTTGAGAACCACTGCTCTAGAGAATACCTGCATATGTACACAAGGTGTGTGCAAGGAGGTTCATTGTAGCCTTATTGGTGGGGGAATAAGTTAGCAACAACCAAAATATTTATCAGTAGGAAGAATTAAACATTGTTCATCCATAGTCTTCACATATTAAAAAGGATGAGAGGGACCCATATTTACCATCACAGAATGACCTCTAAGACATACTGTTAAGTGAAGAAAGCAAGTTTCAGGACAGTAAGTGCAATATGATTATTATATGTCTAAAAACAAAAAAACAAAACATATGCCTCATAAAGGCTTGCACATAAATCTATATAGTAGCATTATCTGTAATAACCTCATCCCCAAAACCTGAAATGTCCATCAACTATGGAATGACTAAACAGATTATAAATGCCCAAATACTAGTAATGTAATACTACTGACATAAAGTAGAACAGTGATGGTGAACCTATGACACGCGTGTCAGAGGTGACACGTAAACTCATTTTTTTTTTTGGTTGATTTTTCTTTGTTAAATGGCATTTAAATATATAAAATAAATATCAAAAATATAAGTCTTTGTTTTACTATGGTTGCAAATATCAAAAAATTTCTATATGTGACACGGCACCAGAGTTAAGTTAGGGTTTTTCAAAATGCTGACATGCTGAGCTCAAAAGGTTCGCCATCACTGAAGTAGAATGAACTATTGATACAAAAAAACAAGGATGACTCTCAGAAGCATTATGATAAGTGAAAGAAGCCAAACTCAAAGACTGTATGGTTTCATTAATATGAAACTCTAGCAAAGACAAAGCAGTAGTGGCATAAAGACCAATAGTTACCAGGGTGACAGATGTGCTAACTGACCTTATTGCGGTAATCATTTCACAGTACATATGTATATCAAGTCATCATGTTGTGCACCTTCAACTTACACAATGTTTTATGTCAGTTATATTTCAGCGAAGCTAGAAACATTTTTTAAAGCAAAAGTAAAAAGTTATTTTCATAAAACAAAAGTTAATAGAACATGGAGGTAAAGCAAGAGGGCTGAATGCAAAGGGAAATGAGGGATCTTTTGCAGTAATAAAAATGTTTAATATTTTTATTGTGGGATTGCTTGATTGTAGGGGAAGATGATAAAACAAGATTGGCCATGACTTGAAACTGATGATGGGTACATGGAAGTTCTTTTCTTTTTCTCTGTACTTTTGTTTATGTATAAACTTTTCATAATTAAACATTTTATTATCTCTTATTTTTTTCACAGGCAATTATTTAGGATTGAAGGAGTAAAAAGTGTCTTCTTTGGACCAGATTTCATCACTGTCACAAAGGTAAACATAGGGGGATATAAAATAAGATGTGAAGCACTTTTAGTTTTCCTGAGTCAAATGCTCTCCAGAATTTCCATTCTTAATGTATTTTATACATACCGTTACCTAAAAAAACCTCAAGTTAAGTTTACTTCTCACATTTCTTAAGTTAATTATTTAATATAATTTCCAGATCCCTCATTTTTTAAAAGGGAAAAATTTGAGCTTCAAGATTGTATAGGTAGCCTACAGCAGGGCCAAGACTTAACCTTGACAAGTCTAGAATTTAGGCTTCCAAGTATTATTTTTACTAATTTTTATTTAAATTGATAGAGTAAAAAGAGAAGGAAATAAATAATCACACAAAATATATATTTGACCAACAGAATGATTGAATATATATATCTCCTTTCAAAGCGGGCACTTACATCATGGCATCTGACCCATTCTACTGTCCTGCAGTAACCCTTCAGAGTTTCATCCATAAAAGCAGTGGACTCTCTAAGTTCTTTTTTTTTTTTTTTTTAAATATATTTCACTGATCTTTTGCAGAGAGGAAGGGAGAGAGATAGAGAGTTAGAAACATCGATCAGCTGCCTCCTGCACATCCCCCACTGGGGAAGTGCCCGCAACCCAGGCACATGCCCTCGACCGGAATCGAACCTGGGACCCCTCAGTCCGCAGGCCGACGCTCCATCCGCTGAGCCAAACCGGCTTTGGCTGGACTCTAAGTTCTTACGTTACCCATTGCAACAGCTAACATGGCATCTGCTAGAAAAGGCTGTTTCATATTTAAGTCTACTAGGTTAATGAGATATGAACTATTTAAATTTGAACTATGTATCCTTTTAAATCAGTTGATATGTATACACCAAATTTAATCATTTGTATAATTTCCATCAAAATAAAAAGTATTCTTTCAACTCCTCTTAAGCAATTTTAAAGGATTACTCTGACTTCTTCATGTACCAAAAAGTGGACATATTGGGTTAGTCCACTAACATGTTACATCTAGTCCAGTATTCTTTTGTAGCTGTTTCTCAGAAAGTCCTTTCTTGACCATATTTGTAAAAGTGTCACTTCTCCCAGGAGCTTATTGCCCTGTTCATTTTATTTTTCTTCAAAAAAAAATATATATTTGATTTTAGAGAGGAAGGGAAAGGCAGAGAAAGATAGATACATCAATAATGAGAGAGAATCATTGATTGGCTGCCTCCTGCACACCCCCTACTGGGGAACAAGCCCGCAACCCCGGTATGTGCCCTGACCAGGAATCCAACTGTGACCTCCTGATTCATAGGTCCCTGTGAAATCATTGAGCCACACCAGCTGGGCCCTTGTTCGTTTTCTTCATCGTGCTTATCTTAATCATATTTTTTTATTTTTATTCCCTGTCTTTCCTGCACTAGAATATAAACTCTGTAAAGATAAAAATTGTCCATCTTTTAAAGACCCCTAGAACAACAACAACATCAAAAACAAACAAACAAAAAGAAAAAAAGATCACCTAGAACAATGCCTGGCATCTAGTACACTCAAATACATTTTTCTAGAAGGAAACAGTGTCTAAATTGAATTTTCAGCCTTCAAGTGGCTTCCCACAAATGTAGGATCATAGTGAGCAAATCTGTGTTAACTAATCCCTAGTCTTTTCAGTTTAGAGACACTGGCCTATCCTTGTTATTCAGTTTTCTTTCTTTGATATTTTTTGAGGGAGAAAAAAGGACCAACATTTATTTAATATCTCTAACATGTGGGCTATGGCATGAATGCTTTACATATATTATCTGGTTTAATTCTTGCAACTAGTCTTTATTTTACAAGCAGGAAATTATGTATTTATTTTAAGCCACTTTTATTTAGTTCTTTAACATATAGTCTATGCTATATAAAATTTTTTTAGATAAAAACATGTGATTATATCTTACAGGGTTTTTATTCTTGATTTGATTTTGGTAAGTCATCTTTTATTTCCCTTCCCCTTCATAATTTAGTTACCCTTTTTGAAATTTCTTCAGCTCCACTAGTTTTTCTTAATGACATGACAGCTAATAAATAATATTCCAAATGAGGGCACACATTGATGTTTAATAGGTAGAATAGCAGACTGCATTTGTTTTCTTTCAGTTAACCTTCCACATTATGGACTATTCCATTTACCTGACATCTTTAGTGATTTCCTGTTTCCCTTTTGATCTGTAATTGATAATTCTGAGGCTTCTTTATGCATCATTTATCATTTTTTTCTAAATGTGTAAGTGTATTTTCAGCTTATATGCTGCCTTTTTGTCTCATTCAACTTGAGGAAATTTTTCTTTTTGTTACCAAGATTTCCTTACTCAGTAGAACCCAATGTTTATTGAAGATCTGAGGTAGCCCTTTGGTCCATCTTCCAAATAATTTTTTAGAACATTACCTCTAACTAGTTCCCATTCCCATTCACTAAAGCATGTCACTAGTTTTGCTTTTGTATCCATAGCAGTGCCCATTTATCTCCGCTCTGAGTACTGCCTTTAAATTGGTTCTTAATCTATTAAAATATCATTCTTATGCATGTAGCCTCAATTTTTTGTAGTCTTTAAGCATAGACCCTAGCCAACAGTTTCCTGAGAGTCTGAGTAGACTTCATCTAATAGTTTTTCCTTCTAGAAAAACTATTTCCTTTTCTTTTTAAAAAATTATTTTTAAATCCTCACCTGAGGAGGTAGGGGTGTGTGTGTGTGTGTGTGTGTGTGTGTGTGTGTGTGTGTATTTTTAAATTGATTTAGAGAGAGAGAGAGAGGAACATCAATGTGTGAGAGAAACATTGATTGGTTGCCTCCTATACACACCCCAACTGGAGATTGAACCCGAAACCTAGATATGTGCCTTGACCGGGAATTGAATCCGCAACCATTTTGGTGTACGGGATGACATTCAACCAGTTGAGGTACCTGGTCAGACTAAAGAGCTCTCCTTTAAAAAACTAAAACAATAGCCCAGCCAGCAAGGCTCAGTGGTTGAGCATCGACCTATGAACCAGGAGGTCATGGTTTAATTCCCAGTCAGGGCACATGCCTGGGTTGTGGGCTTAATCCCCAGTAGGGGGCATGCAGGAGGCAGCCAATCAATGATTCATTCTCATCATTGATGTTTTTCTCTCTCCCTCTCCCTTCTTCTCTGAAATCAATAAAAATATTAAAAAACAAACCTAAAACAATATATCCTGCCTTTCTCTTTTTAGACATTAGTACTATTTAGGTATTTAAGAATTATACCTTTTTTTTTTTTTTTTAATGGAATCAACTAGTCGATCAGATTTGGGGGTGAAATAGTTATCGATTCTTTCTTGAGGATACTGGTCTTTTTCTTTTGTATATGATTGATTTTTTTACAGAGAGGAAGGGAGAGGGATAGAGAGTTAGAAATATTGATGAGAGAGAAATACCGATCAGCTGCCTCTTGCACACTCCCTACTGGGGATGTGCCCGCAACCAAGGTACATGCCCTTGACCAGAATCGAACCTGGGACCCTTGAATCCGCAGGCTGTTGCTCTATCCACTGAGCCAAACCGGTTAGGGCGAGGATATGGTCTTGTTGACAGTTCACAAGTCTTTTAGCCCAGTAGCCATGGATAAGACATGTTAGAAGTTTTGGTTCTACAGTTGTGTCATTGGATTTTGTCAATACTCTTAAGTAATATATGTAAATTGAATTTTTTAATAGTTGTCAGATATCATGTATTTGATCAAACAGTTATATCCTATTTAAAAGAATGGGATATTTCTTTATCCTCTTTATATATATTTTAATTTTAATTATTGATTTTTTTTAGAGTGAGAGGAAAAGAGAGAAATACATTGTGTTGTTCCACTTATTTATGCATTCATTAGTTGATTTTTTTTTAATTCAGCCCTTTAAAAAATCTTAAAATTTTTAAAAGTATTTATTGACTGATTTTTAGAGAGAGAGAGAAAGGGGGAGAGAGACAGACAGACAGGCATTGATTTTTTCCACTTGTTTATGCATTCATTGGTTGATTCTTATATCTGCCCTGACTGGGGATTGAACCTGCAACCTTGACATATTGGGACAACACTCTAACTAACTGAGCTACCTGGCCATTCTTTTATTTTTCTGTTAATCATCACCTGAGGATATTTTTTCCATTTTTAGAGACAGTGGAAGGGAGGTTGGGAGGGAGGGGGAGAGAAACATTGATTGGTTGCCTCCCCGCACACACCCCTACTGGGGCTGGGGATGGAACCTGCAACCCAGGTACGTGCCTTTGACCGGGAATTGAACTCGAGACCCTTCAGTGTGCGGGCCGATGCTTTAACCACTGAACAACACTGTCCAGCGCCAGCCAGGGCCTCTTTATCCTCATTAACATAGTCCTTATTCAGTATTTTAACTGTCTTTACATCATGAAAAAATATCTATCATTTTGATATCCCCTATATAGGGTATGATATACATACAGCACACTTAGTGTAAGTTTGATGAATGAATGGATGAATGAGAAATGTTCTAGGATTGTATCTTCTGAAAGTCATTATAAGCCATATTCTTTTTTTTTTTTTAACTTTTTTTTTATTGATTTTTTTACAGAGAGGAAGGGAGAGGGATAGAGATTTAGAAACATCAATGGGAGAGAAACATCGATCAGCTGCCTCCTGCACACCTCCTACTGGGGATGTGCCCGCAACCAAGGTACATGTCCTTGACCGGAATCGAACCTGGGACCCTTCAGTCCTCAGGCCGACGCTCTATCCACTGAGCCACACCAGTTAGGCTAAGCCATATTCTTTAAGAACTGGACCTGACTTGTATTCTCCAGAAATGAGTACTGTTGCATAGTATAGGATATATATATAAATAAAGATGCTTAAAAGATACGAAGTCTTGTTTTATATTTGTCTATGCCCTTGGGTAGAAATTTTAGCATTTTTCTTTAAATATTTACAGGAAAGTGAAGAGTTAGACTGGAATTTACTGAAACCAGATATTTATGCAACAATCATGGATTTCTTTGCATCTGGCTTACCCTTAGTCACTGAGGAAACATCTTCAGGAGAAGCAGGTGATACGTTGGGTAATTAATATTTATCATTTTTTTTAAAAAAGCTTTTCTACATTCTTCTCATTTGTTTTGATTTCAGAAATCATGGATGTACAGATTTTTATCATTGTACTATATTTAGCTCTAGAACCAATTCTGAGGAAATAAAATTTCATATATACTAGTTTTGCCCATCGTTTTTGAAAATCTGTAAATAAATTGAATCTGTTACACAAAAGTAAATTTTTCAATTATAAAAATTTTCAAACATACAGAAAATAGTATAAAGCTTACCAATTTGCCTCCTCTCAGATTTAACAAATGTTAATTTTTGGCTATAATTGCTTTAAACCCATATTTTAATAAAATACTAAAGACACAGCCAAAGCCCTACAACCCCCATCCCTTTTCCCTTTCTGCTTCCAGAGATGTTTGTAAACTCTGTTTGTTTTAAAATTTTTCCCCCCAAATCTATTTTTATTGATTTAAGAGAGGAAGGGAGAGAGAGGGAAACATCAATGATGAGAGAGAATCATCGATCGCTGCCTCCTGCACACCCCCTATTGGGGATCGAGCCCCCAACCCGGCATTTGCTCTTGACCAGAATCAAACCTGGGACCTTTCAGTCTGCAGGCTGACACTCTGTCCACAGAGCCAAACCAGGTAGGGCTAAACTCGGTTTGTTTTAAAACATTTATTACAAATACAAGTCTCTGCAGGGAATATATAACATTGGTTTTTGTTTTTCAACTTTAAATAACTTGTGCTATATGCACCTTTCCTCTTTTTCACTGAGTATAACATTTTGAAATACATCCATTTTGAAAAAATGTAGTTCTATTTAGCTTAAGTGCTGGATAATTATATGAATAAACTACAGTTAATTATTTTGTTTCTTATGTTCAAGTGAATTATTTGTGCAATTTTTATTACAAATATTGCAGTGGGCATCTTTGTACTGTCTCTTTGTGCATATGTGGAGAGTTTCTGTAGCATATATTCCTTTTTTTCCCCCCATTGATTTCAGATAGAGTGGAAGAGGAAGAGAGGGAGGGGAGAAAGAGAGAGAGAGAGAGAGAGAGAGAGAGAGAGAGAGAGAGAGAGAGAGATTGGTTGTCTCCCGCATGTGTCCCAACCAGTGCAGGTGGGGAGCAAACCTGCAACCCAGGTACATGCCCTTGATCAGGAATGGAACCCACAACTCTTTGGTGTGGGGGCGATGCTCTAACCACGGAGCACACCGGCCAGAGCATAGCGTATATTCCTAGAAATAGAATTGCTGTATTATAAATTGTTATAATGTACATACAAATCAGCAGTGTGTAAGAATTTACTTTCTTATATCTTTATTATCACTTAGTGTCTCACATTTTTTTAACCAGTATTTAAGTGTAAAATGGTGTCTTGTTTTAATTGCATTTCCTTGGTATTATGATACTGAGCCTGAAGGTTTTCATACATTTACTGGTCATTATTTTCCTTCTCAATATATTTCCTGTTCATAATCTTTGCCTATTTTTTAAAAATTGAATTATGTGTCTTTTTTGTATCAATTTTACCAGGTTTTTAAGTGTCAATTTTTTGTTAGTTTTTTTTTCTAGCAGATACCATCTCCATAACCACACCTTATTTTTTCTCTGTGTTTAGAATAGCTTTTGTCATTCAGAAATTTTTAAAGAAAATATGGAATGTTTCATGAATCTGTGTGTTGTCTTTGCTGATGGGCCATGCTAATCTTCTCTTTATCAATCCAATTTTAGTTTTTGTGTTGCCAAAGCAAACACAGTTTTTCTTTTTTAAAATGTATTTTTATTGATTTCAGAGAGGAAAGAAGAGGGAGAAAGAGATAGAAACATCAGTGATGATAGAGAACTATTGATTGGCTGCCTCCTGCATGCCCCACACTGGGGATCGAGCCCACAACTCAGGCATATGCCCTAATCAGGAATCAAACCATGACCTCTTGGTTCATAAGTTGACACTCAAATACTGAGCCACACTGGCCTAGTGGCAGTTTTTATTTTTAATGTAGTCACATATATTCATCTTTTCCTTTATGTGTTTGTGCTTTTTGTATTTTGTTGTAAATAAGTTATTTTGTGTAAAGGACTTAGAAGAGGAACTGCACATGGAGCTCAAATATTAGCTCAAGTATTATATTTGTTGTTGATGAAGATTTTCCTTTCTCCAGTATCATAAAGATATTGTTATGTGTGTATGTGTATATACACACAAACATTTGCGTAATGCCTTTAGATGGTACAGTTACATTTTCTAGGTATATACCTTAAATGAGTCTTATAAATGTACACAAGACAGCATGTAGAAGCATGTTCTTTGAAATATTTAAAAAATATATCAGCAGTGCCCAGCCAGTGTGGCTCAGAGGTTGAGCATTGATCCAGGAACCAAGAGGTCACTGGTTAGATTCCAGGTCAGGGCACATACCAAGTTTTGGGCTCGATCCCCAGTAGGGGGCGTGCAGGAGGCAGCTAATCAATGATTCTGTCTATATCCCTTTCCCTTCCTCTCTCTCTCTATCTCTCTAATCAATAAAAACATATTTAAAAAACATATCTCAGTAGTTAAAAGAAATGAACTAGATTGGAAGATATCAATATAAAAAGATATAAAAGGAAATATTAAGTGATAAAGGAAAAGTGGAGGGTATATTTATTTACACACACATATATGCCATTTATGCATGAAACAGTTATTTGTGTTTGTTTTTTTAAAATATATTTTCATTGATTTCAGATAGGAAGGGAGAAGGAGGGAGAGAAACCCAATGATGAAAGAAAAACATTGATCGGCTGCCTCCGGCATATCTCCTACTGGGGATCGAGCCCAAAACGTGGGCATATGCCCTGACCTGGAATCTCACTGGTGACCTCTTGGTTCCTGGGTCAACAACCATTGAGCCACACCGGCCAGGCCAGTTAGTTGTGTTTTTGATGGGTATATACATAAAGTTGATACGATATTTTGAGAGCCATTTGATTATGTCTACCAAATTTTAAAAATACATAAACCTGTTGACCCAAATATCCTATCACTAGTAATTTATTTTACAAATATACTTTAAAAAGTAAACTGATAAATACTTTACACAAGCATGTATGCTGCAGGATTGTTAGAAATAGCAGTGAACTAGAAACAACTGAAATAAGAAACTAAAGACAAATTAATACAAAAATTTTTATGTATCTATTTTTAAAATTGAGAAATCTGTACATGATGATATGGTACATGATGTACCTTTAAGATATATTAAATAGAGAAAGTCAAGGTATAGAACAGTGTGTATTGTGGAATTTCATCTGTGTAAATATACACGTGGAAATGTAAACATATATTAGAAGGGTGTTCACTAAACTCGTGATAGTGGTTGCCTATGGAAGTGACAGTGGGGAACGGAACTTAGGTTTGCTGATGTAAGAGAATTTTATTTTTATTTTTATGTTTTTAAAAAAGATTCAAAGTTAATATAATCTAATATTGATAGTTGTTGCCTATGTTGTTGCTAGAAATCTAGGGTTTGTTATAGTGTAATTTGAATTGTCTACATTTTTAGTTTTCCTGATGGTAAATAAATTTCTCAAAAATATTTAAAACCAATAAAAAGGCATTGGTGAAAATCAGTATATAATCTTACAAAGTAAGAGAAAAAAAAAAATGAAACAAAATTTAGAAACAACTTTTTGCTTAGACTTGGAGAACATTTTGGAAATTAGCATAAGGCTTACATCTATATTTAGTATGATCCTCATTTTGAAAACCACAAAATTAAGAAATTGAAAATGTAACTTAACTGAGAAAGTAGGTGTGCCTTTTTGTCTCAAAGTTTCCATCAGTATCCAAACAACCTCTTTTTTTCTTTCACTTTTCAATCCTTGAGAATGAGGAAAGTTTACAAATGTATTGACCAAAAAACTGAAACCCTACTATCATTAGTAGGTTAAGTTATTTTGGCATACTCACTTTATTGCCAGATATTGAATTGATCAGTACTTCTTAATTTTTTTTCAGAGAATTGAAGGAATGATCTTTTCATTTCCCTTAAATCACTTTATCACCGTACCAAGCTACATGTCCTGTGCTTTTATTTTTTTAACTAGAGGCCCAGTGTACAAAATTCGTGCACTGGGAGGGAGGGGTCCCTCAGCCCGGCCTGCGCCCTCTCATAGTCTGGGAGCCCTTGGGGGATGTCCAGCTGCTGGCTTAGGCCCGCTTCCCACGGTCCTAAGCTGGCCCTCTTGCAGTCCGGGACCCCTTGCTCCTTAACGCCTGTCTGCGCACTGCTCCTTACCACTTGGGTTGCTGCTCCTTAGCGCTGCCACGGAGGCAGGAGAGGCTCCCGCCATCGCCGCTGCGCTCACCAGCCGTGAGCCTGGCTTCTGGCTGAGCAGCTCTTCCCCTGTGGGGGCGCATTGACCATCAGGGGGCAGCTCCTGCGTTAAGCGTCTGCCCCCTGGTGGTCAGTGCGCATCATAGCAACCAATTGTTCTGGTCGTTCCACCATAACGGTCGCTTAGGCTTTTATTATATAGATGAAATATTAAAATTACTAGGTTAAAATTATCCTATTTTAATAGTACTTGTATTTGCCTGTTATGAAATGTCTACTGTTAATATGTTTTATTTGTAATTGTTTCTAGGATCTGAAGAAGATGATGAAGTTGTGGCAATGATTAAAGAACTATTAGATACAAGAATACGGTATGTGCTTATCTTTCTACTTGAGATCATATATACTGCAGAGCCAATTTTCATTATAGCAATTTACGTTTGGTTGTCTATGAGATTATATTAGAGTTTTAAAAGAAGTATAAGTTAATGTAAACCACAGAAAGTTACCATGATAGTTGTCTATATTCACTCCAAATTTTAAAACTATCTAAACATAATCAGTAAAGTACTTTATCTTTCACAGTTACCATTTAGGTTTGATGTTGTTATAATACCAAATTTCTGAGAAAAAAAATTAGTTTAATAGTGTTTGGGAAGATTGTGAGGAGAGGATTACTTGTATTTTAGGCTATTATCCATAAAGAATAAAATTAAATAAGTAGAGAACTTCCTGCTCTGATTTTTTGCTTGTAGCAGACCAATGGCCCTGGTGTTAAGTCCCAGAAAAGCTAGGTAAGATACAATTTTTTAAAAAAATTGTGTGTGAAGACATTAAATAGCTAACAAAGCAAACAAGATCTGGTAGGGAAGAAAGCACATTGAGGCTTCCCTCTGGGCATTTGCTGATTCTTGGTGTGAGGCTAGAGAAACTGGCTTGGGGCAGCTGCTAAGAATCAGAAAACCATATAGCTTTTAGCAAATTTGTTGAAATGGAAGACAACAATTAAAATTCTGGGTCAATAAAGCTTTGACTTAAAGGGCCAAGATCCTAGAGAGAAGTTAAGAAAAAGTAAGCCTAACACTCAGAGGCTCTCTCCACATGGCACGTGCTTATTCTTAGCTGTGTAAGAGAAGAGACCACGAGGTCAAACAAAAAGCAGTTGGAACACTAAACAGAGTTTTGACAGTTGTACGGTTCTGGGAGTAACAAAAATTGGAGTTTAGGACCAGTCAAGGAGGGTTGGGGCCTCAAGAAACATCCAGACCCTTAGTTGGGTTCCCTATAGGACTATACCGTTGAAATGGGGGCAAACCAGAGGTAGAACATGGTCAAGAAAGAAATCACAAAGGAAATTTAAAATAGAATACGTATCTGCATCACTTTTGAGTTTTTTCAAAAATAGTTTTTTTGACAGGATACAAGAAAAATCACGGAAAAAAACATTAATTAGACTACAGTAGAATTATGACTCTCTTCATCAAAAGATGCCATTTACAGTGAAAAGCAAAGCACAGAGTAGAAGGTATTTATAATACATACTAGAGGCCCAGTGCACAAAAATTTGTGCACTTGGTGGGGAGAGGGGGTCCCTCAGCCCGGCCTGTGCCCTCGCAGTCTGGGACCCCTCGGGAGATAACGACCTGCTGGCTTAGGCCTGCTCCCGGGTGGCAGAGGGCAGGCCCAATCCCTAGGTGCCGCCCTTGGTCGGGCTCAGAGTAGGGCTGATTGGGGAGTTGGGGCGCCGCCCCCTGTTATGTACAGAGCAGGGCGGATCGGGAGGTTGCAATGCCACACTCAGTCACGCTCAGGGTAGGGCCAATTGGGGGGTTGGGGCACCGCCCCCTGTCACACTCAAGGCAGGGTCGATGGGGAGGTTGCGGCGCCACCCCCTGTCATGCACAGAGCAGGGTGGATCAGGGGGTTGGGGTGCCGCCCTCCATCACCCAAAGAACAGGGCCGATCAGGGGGTTGGGGCGCCGCCACTCTCACACTCAGGGCAGGGCCGATGGGGAGGTTATGGCTCTACCCCGTCACACACAGAGCAGGGCCCGTTGGGGCTGGGGGGTTGGGGCGCCGCACCCTGTCACACACAGAGCCGCAGGGTAATCAGGGGTTTGGGGAGCTCCCCCCTATCAGGCACAGGGCAGGGCTGATCAGGGGGTTGGGGCGCCTTCCCCTGTCACGAACAGAGCAGGGCGGATAGGGAGGTTGTGGCCCTGCCCCCATCACACACAGAGCCACAGGGTGATCAGGGGGTTTGGGCGCTGCCCCCTGTCATGCTGATCCCGGTGCCGGGAGGCCTCTCAGCTCTGCTGATCCCGGTGCTGGGAGGCCTCGTGGCTCCGCTGATCCCAGTGCTGGGAGGCATATTACCCTTTTACTATATAGCATAGAGGCCTGGTGCACAGGTGGGGGCCGGCTGGTTTGCCCTGAAGGGTGTCCTGGATCAGGGTGGGGGTCCCCACTGGGGTGCCTGGCCAGCCTGGGTGAGGGGATGATGGCTATTTGCAGCTGGTCACACACCATTCAGGGTGGGGGTCCCCACTGGGGTGCCTGGCCAGTCTGGGTGAGAGGCTGAGGGCTGTTTTCAGGCTGGCGGGTGACTGAAGCTCCTAACTGCTCCTTTTACTCTTTTTTTTCTTTTTTATTCTGGGCCAGCTTTAGCTCTGGCTCCAGCTCTGAGGCCTCTGCTGCTGAAAGCAGGTATCTGGCTTGTTTGGGTTTTATACTCGAAACTCTGTATCAACTCCAGCTCTGAGATCCCGCAGGCTGAAAGCAGGTTTCTGGGGTTTTGTTTAGCTTCTATATTTGTAAACATTGTTACAAACTGCAGGCTCAGAGGCCGGGGAACGTTGGTTTCCTCCTTCACTGAAGCAAGCAAGCCTCATGTTAGTTTCAAGCTGCCTGGCTGCCGGCCACCATCTTGGCTGGCAGTTAATTTGCATATCTTGCTGACTAGCCAATGGGAAGGGTAGCAGACGTACGCTAATTACCATGTTTCTCTTTTATTAGATAGGATATGACAGACTATATTTTAAAACTCTTACAATTTGTTAAGAAAACAAATATTCAGAGACTGAAGCAGTCTCTTCATGAAAGCACTGGAGCAGCTACTCAAAAACTATAGTAGCCAAATGGCCACTAGACACGAGAAAGTGCTCAACCTCATCAGTCATTGTGAATATTCTAATTAAAGCCACAATGAACTATCACTGCCCATCCACTAGAATGGTTAAGATAATTAAGATTGACAACACCAATTGCTATTGAGGATGTAGAGCAACAGGAACTCTCTTATACCACTGGTGGGAATATAAGTTTATATAACTCTGGAAAACTATTTAGCCTTTTCTGCTAAATCTGAACATATGCATATCCTTTTCACCCAAGGATGTGTTTATTTATTTGAGAAAATTAATTGAATTGATTGTACGTGATTTCTACAATTTTTTTATTAATGTTATATTTCAATGAAAAGTTGAAATAGAAAAAGAAAGCTAGCATGTGTCAAATTCTCTGTATTCACCCTAAAGAAATTGAGTATATCTTGGGTAATTACTATAATTATTAGGAAATTTGAAATTTTAAATGCTGAAAAAAATTAATAAGCAAGACTAAATACAAAAAGTAGAGCATATATTTATATGAATGAAAGTGACAAAATTAAAATTATAAATGAGACTAGCCTCATTTCTCTATTGTAAAAGTAACTCTGACTTTGTAAATATACCAATACAAAATCTAAGCTCTTAGTTATATTAAATTTTTTTGATTAAATTTTTTTGAAAATTTCTATTCTCTTAAATATCACAAATATACTGTGACCACAGGCCAACTGTGCAGGAAGATGGAGGAGATGTAATATATAAGGGCTTTGAAGATGGTATCGTACAGCTGAAACTCCAAGGTTCTTGTACCAGCTGCCCTAGTTCAATCATTACTCTGAAAAATGGAATTCAGAACATGCTGCAGTTTTATATTCCAGAAGTAGAAGGCGTAGAACAGGTATGCCAATATTATGTGATGGTTTTAATATTAAAATATCAAATAGATTTAAAATAAACATTTGAGAAGAAAAGAAATTCATGACCTGACATTTTCTTCAAGGGCTGGATCTTAGTGTTATAATCATTATCAGACTTTATGACTCTTTAATTTAGAATTAACTTTAGTGTTATGAATACCTACTGTGTGCCAGGCATTTTTACAAATATTACTTCATTTAATCTTCTAATAGTATGGTATATTAATAGATTTAAAAACAAACAAACATTTTGTTCCATTTTCTGCCATATGCCTTTTCCTTTTTTTGGCCATATCCCTTTTAGAAAATTACATTAGTTGACACTGTGGACAAAGGAACATTTTTGTTTACTTGTCCAGGGTGGGGTGATGAATTGGCTGTCAGATTGTAAACTTGAATTGGCATTTAATTGTAGTAGGTGTGGTGAACAGAAAAAAATTCTTCAGTTTATATAACTCTCTTCCTTACCAAAGGAGTTGTTCTTTATTATTTGAGTAATATATTAACTCATGAAAAGACATTAATTTTATTTTTTTCTTCAAGTGTTCATTAGTTTTATTAACTTACTAGAAATGAAAGTCTTAACATTTTTCTAAGGTTTGAAATGAATTTTTATCTGAGTAAGATAAAATAGTTGCCAATATATTTTGTTTACTTACTTTTTGGGGGGGATTCATTTTCCTTAAAAAATTTTTTTGATTGATTTTTAGAGAGGGAGAGGAAGGAAGAGATAGAGAAAAACATCAATTTATTGTTCCACTTATTTTTTTAATATATATTTTTTATTGATTTCAGAAAGGAAGGGAGAGCGATAGAAACATCAATGATGAGAGAGAATCATTGATTGGCTGCCTCTTGCAAGCCCCCCACTGCAGGGAATCGAGCCTGCAACCCAGGCATGTGCCCTTAGCCAGAATCCAGCCTGGGACCCTTTAGTCCGCAGGCTGATGCTTTATCCACTGAGCCAAACCAGCGAAAGATTCCACATATTTATGTATTCATTGGTTGATTCTTGCATGTGCCCTGATGGGGGATCGAACTGGAAACCTTGGCCTATCTGGGCGACACTAACCAATTAAGCTACCCGGCCAGGGCTCAGAATTCATTTTTCTAATGTATATTTTTACAGTTTGGTATAGAACCCCAGAATATATTTAAATAAATAAGATGCTGTTTTGTTAGGGAGGGGGGTAATCAATTACATTAGTCTTATGACTAGGAAATACCAGTTAATCTTTATAGTCTTCTCTGACCAGCTGAGACTCTGCTGTTGCCTCTTTTGGGACAAGGAGACCAGAGCTTTTAATTAATTTGCTAATATTCAGTTTGCTTCTATGTTGTTAGGATACCAGGTTACTATGCAAACCTTGTGCTTTGGGGCTGTTAATAGATTTATTTTTATTGACTTGCATTATTATAGAATAGAGTATTTCAGGTAAGAAAGTAATGTTAAAAACAATAAAATAGCAATTTCTAATTATTTTCTTAATTCTTAAATTCTCTTTGTTTTCTTTCTTTCTTTTTTTTGGTTCTAGGTTATGGAAGATGAATCAAATGAAAAAGAAACAAATTCACCTTAAAATATTTGAGTTTTTTTTGGGCCCAGCAATCGGACTTATTGATACTGTATACCTTGCTTTTATTATTAACTGCTAAGGAACTGTAGATTAATAAAATATGCCCTTTCTTCAGAGAATGATATATAAATAGTGCATGTTTACTTGACCTCATATGAGTTATTTATAATATCCTGAATCATTTTCTGTATACATGAATTTTATTCAGGGATATTTTATTTTTGTTAGTCATTTTTCATGGTTAATTCTTTGCGTAATGTTTGAAGCAGTTTAAAATACATTTTACCTCATCTCATTTATTTATTTTTAAAATACAGAAGTGAATAGGGAGAATATACTTTAAAAAATATTCTAAATGGCTTAGCTTTTGTGAGATGTTTGAAACTATTTTTAATGAATTTTTTATCTTGTTAAAAAAAAACCAACTAAACAATTTTGGTTTAAAAATGATATCAGGCTGCCCTGGCTGGTGTGGCTCAGTTGTTTGAGCATTGTCCCATGCACTGAAAGGTGGCCAGTTTGATTCCTGGTCAGGGTACATGCCCAGGTTGTGGGTTTGAGACAAAACACACACACATGCACACACAAACAAATCATAATGCTGAATATTGATTAAAACAAAAACAGATTCCAGAATGTAGAAAAAAATTCAATTAATTATAAGACAGTGCAGGCTGAATTGAGAAAAACTGCCTTAGCATGGTCAGGCTTTATCTTATGAAGCAGAATCTCTCTGAAATAAAGATGAGAAGCTGATCTGGTCCTTTTATTGGCTTCTGACTCAGAGATTTATAGTCTGTGCCATGCCAGAAATTTGGACAATTATCTCTCTACTATAGGAGTACTGCTTTTTAAGATAGCCTACATAGCAAATTATCCTCTCTCCTTTTTCTGTAGTAATTCAGAGACAACATTTCACAAACAATATCAGGAAAAGAAATATGGGTATATTACATCTCTGGATTTCTGGTCTCCAAAAGTACAGAGGTTAAGATAGGGACAGAAATAGGAAGAACTCCAGCAGTTGTGAATGCCAAGATTGAAGTTTTTATTTTTGTTCTTTGGTTCACATAAACAGATAATTGAGTTTGGACAATGTATTTCCTGAGCTATTATAGATGAATTCAGCTTATATACTCTTGGAATTGGTTTATAAACTAGGAATTGACTCATGCAATCATGGAGGCTAGCAAATTCAAAATCTGCAGGGTGGGATATCAGGCTGCAGACAGGGAAGAGCCTGTGTTGCAGTCCAAGTCCAGCTCTGCTGGTGAATTCTTTCTGCTCTGGAGAGGTGAGTCTATTGTTCTAGTCCAGCGGTTCTCAACCTGTGGGTCACGGCCCCTTTGGGAGTTGAACGACCTTTTCACAGGGGTCGCCTAAGACCATCGGAAAACACATATATAATTATATATTTTTGTGATTAATCACTATGCTTTAATTATGTTCAATTTGTAACAATGAAAATACATCCTGCATATCAGATATTTACATTATGATTCATAACAGTAGCAAAATTACAGTTATGAAGTAGCAACAAAAATAATTTTATGGTTGAGGGTCACCACAACAGGAGGAACTGTATTAAAGGGTCGTGGCATTAGGAAGGTTGAGAACCACTGTTCTAGTCAGTCCTTCAACTGATTGAATTAGGACCACCCACATTATGGAGGGCAAGGTGCTTTACTCAAAGTCCACCAATTTAAATGTTAATCTCATCCAAAATCACCCTCAGACACATCCAGAATGTGTGCTAATATCTGGGCACTGTGGCTGAGCCAAAGTGACATAAAAAAAAATAACTGTCACAGTGAATAAAGTTTGCTTTTATGGCCAACTTATCTGTTTAAAAATTTAAAAAAAAATTATTTTAGAGAGAGAGAAATTGATTTATTGTTTCACTTATTTATTCATTCATTGGTTGATTCTGGTATGTGCTCTGACGGGATTAAACCCGACAATTTTGGAGTATTGGGATGATTCTCTAATCAACTGACCTACCTGGCCAGAGCCCCTGGTTAACTCATCTGATCCCTTCTTCCATATCTTACCCCCTCTCTCTGCATTGCCATACTCAATTCCACAGGGTCTTATATTGTCACGTTTTTGCCCAGTGTCATCAATCGAGGTAATCTGCCCAGGTCTGCCTTCCTTCTGATTTCAGAATTATCGTCCCTTCAAAATTTACATTTCCTCAGTGACCTTTTCACACCTGGTATGGAAATGAAAAGTAATCCTATAAATAGTTTCACTCTAAAGTGTTAATAGATCTTAATGACTTAATGTAGATCTCCTAGGGAAGAGGGAGGTGTTCTGCATTAACTATACACTGAGTGGCCAGATTATTATGACCACCTGACGTTTGTAGGCAAATTTGCTATAATTTTGCGCTGAAGTTGCTAGAGGGCCACGCCATTATAAATAGGGAAGCAGGTTGTTTACCACGATAGTGGAAGTGATTTTTTTCCCAAAGATATGGGTAAACAACGGGATTTAAAAGCCTTTGAATGTGGAATATAAATATATATATATATACACACACACACACACATATATATATACACACACACATATACACATACACACACACACACTGAGTGGCCAGATTATTACGACCACCTGACGTTTGTAGGCAAATTAGCCGTACACTGCATCGTATGGGATATGGAAGCCGAAGGCCTGTTCGAACACCTTTGCTGTCTGTAGTTACTAAGATAAAACGTCTCCAATTCGCATAGGAACACAAGAATTGGACAGTCGAGCATTGGAAAAAAAGTCATGTGGTCCGATGAATCACGTTTCCAGTTGCATCATGCATATGGCAGAGTGAGAATTTGGCAGAAACAGCATGAAAGCATGCACCCCACATGCATGAGTACAACCCTTCAAGCTGGTGGGGGCAGTGTTATGGTTTGGGGCATGTTTTCCTGGCATGATTTGGGCCCTTTAATTCGTGTGGAACAACGTCTGAATAGCACAACATACCTAAGTATTGTTGCTGATCAGGTTCATCCTATCATGTTGATGGCGTATCCTAACGGAGATGGCTTCTTCCAACAAGACAGTGCACCATGCCACAGTGCTTGTATTGTGCAGGAGTGGTTTCAAGAACATAAGAGAGATTTTACCTTGCTTAGGTGTCCCCCACAATCACCAGATCCCAGTCCAATTGAGCATTTGTGGGACGAAGTTAAAAGAGCCATCAGGCAGCTGGTTCCACAAGCATCAAATCTCACAGAACTGGACAGTGCTATTCATCAGGCATGGTGTCAGATTCCTCGCATCACCTTTCCACATCTCGTGGGGTCAATGCCATGAAGAATCGCCGCAGTATTGAAGGCAAAAGGTGGCCCAACGAAGTACTGATGGGGTGGTCATAATAATATGGCCACTCAGTGTAAATGTACAGGTGGACTTTAGGCATGTGATAGCCAATAAATGGAGGTAATTTGGGACAGGAAACTTTTTGGTCTCCTATAATCACATTTTGTAAATGACCAGTTCTCTATAGTCAAGGCCTATTTAACATCTGGTTCCCTTTCTGATGTGTTCAAAAAAGGGCAAGTGCAAATATATGAAAGTTTGAGATAGTATTCTGTTTCTAAAATTTTTATTGATTTTTAGAGGAAGGGAGAGATAGAAACATCAGTTATCCCATTTATTTATGCATTCATTGGTTGCTTTTTTCCCCTAAAATATATTTTTATTGATTTCAGAGGAAGGGAGAGGGAGAGAGAGAAACATCAATGATGAGAATCATTGACCAGCTGCCTCCTGCGTGCTCCCCACCGGGGATGGAGCCCACAACCCAGGCCTGTGCCCTGACTGGGAATCCAACCATTACCCCCTGGTTCATAGGTCGATGGTCAACCACTGAGCCACGCAGGCCTTTTTAATTTTAACAATTTTATTGCTATTTATATTGGGAGTCAGCCAAGGGATAACAAAAGTCACAAATGTGAAAGTTTGATAATCTTATACAGCTATTTCAGTTATGGTTCTTCATTTCTTTAGAAATGACAACTAGAAGCCCTGAGGCATAGCAAGGAGGAGGCTGAGAACCATTAGATTTCACAGGACTAACCTGGGAAATCGAGTAGCATAAAGAGACAATAAATGACACACCATCATCACTTTTTATTTTTTCAATTCTGTTCAAAAGTTTTGATCAGAGAAAAAATCCTTTCCATTTCCTCAGATGTTTGAATAAGACCCAGATGTCTCCATTCATTCCTAGGTAATTTAATTTTTTCTTCTGCAGCTCTGATTTCCAAAGGTGCAGCTCAGGCAAAGCTCTGTAGATGGGGTTCAGACAAACAAAATGCTTCTATATCAGTGTCTGGACTGGCACATGGTTACAAAGGGCTCTTTGTTTCAGTGGGTTGGTGAGGTTGTTCAAGGTTGGGTTGGTGTGGAGGACAGGCTGTTCCATGACGTGACCGCTGCCTCTCCTGTGAGCTAGAGCTAGACCAGAACAGAGGTTGCTTTCTGTAAACCCACCTTATAGACTCTCTGAACTGATGTTCATTCTGACATAAATTAATGCCTCTCTTGCTCCCTGTGATATGCCGGCTCCTGGAACAGGTTGTTGTCCTGACTTGGTCAAGCATATAATTTCTAGCATTCAGGTACTAGTGCCTGTGATTATTGCCCACTTTTACCCTATGTCATTCTTTGGTATCTGGCAGTGAATGGCATGGGGACCCATTTTGTTTTGCAGCTACCCAAGACATGCCTTGTAAGTTCCCCTTTATAAATTTTATTAATTACCTGACTAGAGTGGCCAGCCTCTTTCTTTGGTCTTTCTCTGCCTTCCACTTATGGAGGTAAATTTTCATTCTTGGGGCTGTCTCTGGGTCTGCGTGTATTAAACAGCTGGGGAAATAATTGGCCTTAAAAGTTTCTTCCTCTCAACTGATGCATAAGCACTTTCCAAAATAGCTGTAAAATGGAGATGGACAAGACAAATTGATAGTCATGATGGAGAAACAAGCAGAAGAGGAAAGCAGAGGGGTTCAACAATTATAGTTTGAGCATGAGTACTTTGGTGGTCCTGCTGGCTTTTCTTTGTGGCATTGACAGGATTTTTGGCAGCTTACAAAGGTGTTCAAACATTGTAATCATGCTCTGGCCAGCGTGGCTCAGTTGGTTGGAGTGTCTTCCTGTGTACTGAAGGGTCTCGGGTTCAATTCCTGGTATGATTGTAATCATACCTTGACATCTTGGAAGTATTACTGAAGGCTTACCAGAAACTCTTAGATGAGGGTCTGAGGCTAACATGTACTTTGCCTCATAAACATAGCATGTTTATGTCCCAAATGTGTTGTCTCTTTTCAAATAGCTCACTGTTGTTTTATAAACTTTGCTCTGGGTGATATAGGAACCTGTTTAAGGGCCTGAAATATTAAAGGATTTTCATGTTAGAAATACTCTGATTAGTTCAATGTTACATTTTCTGGCCTCTCTTTGAGGCCAGTGATACAAAGACATTCCCCGCCCCCCCTTCCCCCCCAAGAAAAACTGAAAAGCCCTTTGCTCACTTGATCATAAAACCAGCCATAGAAAGTAAACTCTACTAAGAACATTAGACTTTTTTTCACTCATTCAAAAGCATTTTTGATCCCTTACTTTGTGGTAAGTTCTATACTAGGTGTTGAGTATGCAAACACTTGTTCTAGCTTCAAGAAACAGCCTAGTAGAGGAATATGCAAAAAGCAAAAGTAAAAAAATTAAAGTATATTGCTTTAAGAGGGGCAACTCAAAGAATGAGAGGTTAATGCATATCCTTATGTCTCTCTGGGGGAGACAAAAAAGGTTTTCCGTAAGAGGTAGCATTTAAGTAGGGAAGGTGTGTGGATTCCATGAAGAGTAACCAAAGTGTGCAAAAGTTTTGAGAATATTGGCCCAATTGAGAGATCACCTGTTCAGTGTTATTGGAGTGCAAAGAGCTGGAAGGTGTGGTAGGAAAGGAGCAGCAGTGTGAAGTAAGATGAGACATCTGGGGTCAGAAGTCCATGCCATGTTCTATGTGCCGTATAAGTTTTTATTTGATTCTACTCGAGTCATTAATAGAGTTATGATAACCATCTACATTTTACTAAAGATACTATTTAAATCTTACTAAGCAACTGCTCAGGTAATAAATTCTCAGAAACATCATCTCTCTTTGATTAAGTTTCTCTTGGCAGGAATGGTGCATTAATTAATAGAATTAGTTAATCGTTGATGAGTCAAATGTAAGGCTGTCAAATCTGGGCAATTCCTACAGTCCTGTCAGGTGGGCCAGCAAAGTCTCCCCTGCCCCTCTGCAAAAAACACACAAAAAACAAACAAACAAAAAAAACCCATAAAACGGGGTTAGGGAGTCAATGAATGGGGGCGGAGGGCCTTTGGAGGCCAAGCATATAACATAGAGCCTAAGTCGGGAACTGAATTGCCTGCCACCTGGAAGACTAACAGAACCTGCATAGCGCTTTGCAACCAGGAATTTTGGTACCTCCTTCCTCTCAATTCTTTGCAATTTTTTTTAGGTCTATATCCTTTTCCCACCCTGATTTATTTGTCCGGCTGGCCTCTGCTTTCTTCCTCCTCTTTCCCCGCTTCCTGGCGGGCTGGAACTTGGAGCCTAGGATTGAACTAGGGCGCGCCCCCAACGTTATTTGCTTTGCTAACAAACCCATCCTCCTCTTTCCTAATCTTCCTCTCATTCCAGCCAGCCTACAAGTTTCCTCCTCCCCCGCGGCGCCGTTCCTCCCGCTACTCGCCCCGGGGCCGGGCGGCTCCAGGAACCTAAAGCGGATGCGCCGGGAGCCGCTGCCACGTCCTCGCTGCCAGCAGGCCAGCGCCTGCGTGGGCTCGTGGGCGGGGCGGCTCGGGGAGGCGGGACCTGTGCGTGAGTGGCGCGGACGCGGCCCAATGGGACCTGCGGGAGGCGGAGGCGGCGGCGGCGCGGTGCGTGCCGAGGGGCGGGGCCAGGAGGCAGTTGCTGGCGAGTCCCGGAGGCCAAGAAGGGAGTCGTTACCTCGGCTGTCGCATCCTCGAGGGAGTCGTGCGGGTACCTCCTTACCCCCAAGCCCGCTGATAGCCCCACAGCTCCCGTGTGCTCCCGATTTCGCCAGCCGCTCACCACTCTCCTAGCGGACCGAGCGAGCCGCCGGCATCATGTGCGGTAAGGGGCCGCGGGCGGGGGGCGTGTTGCGGGGCGGCGCGGGCACTGCCGAGGCCCGAGGCGCCGGCGGGAGCGGCGGTGTGGAGGGTGCGGAGTCAGGATGATGGGCGGGGGGCGTCCCGCGGCAGCCGCGGGGGCTGGGCGCGGGGGCCGGCCTCTGCGAGCCGGGGGTGGGGGTGTGTGTGTGTGTGGTGGACTGAGGAGGGCACCTGAGAGGGGGGCGGGCCCTGGAGCGGTCTGGAGGAGTGAAGGGGGCGGCGAGGCGCGGAGCAGAGCAGGGGACGGGAGGGGGAGAGATGTTTGTGCTGAACCGGGAAAGAAGAGGGGGCCGAGGGAACTGAGGTGTGGACGGGGCGGACTCACCGGAGCCCACCAGGTGCGGGAGGCCACCTGTGGAACCTCGGGCGAGGTTCTCTTGGACTGACCTTGTATTCTCCTAGGATTTACCTTTTAAAAAATACTTATGTTTAGTGCTGTCTTTCCGCCAGGCCCAGTAGAGAACAGAACTTTAACTAGAACTATGACAGTGGCATTACACATGGTCTTATTTCCTGCCATCCCCGTCTCAACAGAAACCATTGCTAATTAGTAACTTGGTGAGTGGGGTGAGACCTGATCATCTGGTGGAAAGAGGCCCGGAAGTGACCGTGGCGATAGATCACATGCCATTTATCACTTGCATGTGCACCCGTTTAAAATATCAATGAAAAATAATGGTCTACCTTTAGTGAATGTTTTACCTGAAAAGTTAAAAAAGTTAGGACTGCCGTAGCTGGCAAATTTGGCTCAGTGGATAGATGGTTCCGGGTTCTGTTCTGATCCAGGGCACGATCCTCGATTGCAGGCTCGATCCCTGAGCCCCGTAAGGGAGTCAACCAATCGATGTGTTTCTTTCACATCGATGTTTCTCTCTCTCTCTCTCTCTCTCTCTCTCTCTCTCTCTCTCTCTTCCTTCCACTCTGTAAAAAACAATGGAAAAATATCCTTGGGTGAGGATTAACATAAGAATAAAAAAGTTAGGCCATTTTATTCCATGTTTTGAGACTTAGTTGTTTTAATTGTACCTAAAAGTGTTAGCTAAAAGGAATGGTTTGAATCTGAAATGACTGATCTGCACTAAAATTGGTATTAACTTGGCCATTCATTGTCAGTATAAAGAATTGTCTCATTCATTACCTTTCTCATTGAAATTTACAACTAACCTTAGGGAAAAAAACATAACACTTTTGAAAGGGACGTATGCTTGTGATGGAATTGAAACTATCTGGGAAACTTATTCTTTGTAGCCTTTTGCAAGAACTGAGCAGGAGGTGACAAGCTCTCGTTAGTTTTATTTTTCCTGTATTAAACTTTATGCAAATTTCAGCTTCTGAAAAAGAGGAGCATGTTTAAATTTAAAATTTCAGCTTCTGAAAAAGAGGAGCATGTTTAAATTTAGAGTAGGTTAAAAAAACAAACAAAAAAGAAAATCTTTAAATACCTTTCTGAAATTATTAGTCGAGCTGACTTTAGCATTAGATATACTTTTGCTCTGATAGTAGAGTGGTTTGCAAGAACACATAATTTAATTTGGAGCTGTGAGTAGTAAACTGGTTAATCCCCAATGTGCTTCATTTGCTAGTTAACTGTCCCTGAATGATGAGGTGTGCACTGAGTTAAGTACCTGGCTATCTGGTTGTAGATAATTTCTTCATCTTGTTCCAGGAAAAAAAGGAAGCCAAAGTATCTATACTAATATCTATACTAATAAAAGGGTAATATGCTAATTAGACCCATGTCTTCCAGACAAAGCCACCGTGGCCAAGGCAGAGGCAGTTAGGGACGATCAGGCTGGCAGGGGAGAGCAGTTAGGGGAGATCAGGCTGGCAGGCAGGCAGAGTGGTTAGGGGCAATCAGGTAGGCGAGTGGTTAGGCGCCAGCAGTCCCGGATTGCGAGAAGGATGTCCGACTGCCAGAAGGATGTCCGACTGCCGGTTTAGGCCCTGTGGGAAAGGGCCTAAACCAGCAGTCAGACATGCCCCAAGCGGTACCGGATTGGAGAGGGTGCAGGCCAGGCTGAGGGACACCCCCCCCTCCGGTGGATGAATTTCGTGCACCAGGCCTCTAGTGTACTACAAAAGAAAAAACCTGATCTGGTTCAGAAAAGGTGCAAATTAGAGTGAGGCTTTTAGGGTGGAGACTAGATGTCGCATATCACTTAGCCAACATCCCCATTCCAATGTTTTATTGCTGAGGAAACAGGTTATAAAGAATAAACAACTGGTATTTGAGTTATTTTTGAGGTCCTGCTTTTAATCCTATCCAGACCACAATTTTGCATGATCTGGAATAAGGTCTAGAATTTATTCCCTTTAATTATGAAGGTTAACTGTTAGGACGAAAGTTCATCTTTATTTTCCTCCCACATCTTAGTCATTGCAGTAAAATTTTTAGACAGAAAAATTGAGTGGGGAATGAGATCAGGTGGGAAAATTCAGATTTACCTTCTGATTTCCTGCTGCCTATTCAGATTTTTCTAAAAGATTATTTTATTTCAACATTGCATAATATTGAAGCAGAGGAATGAAGGCTATAAGTCTGTGGTATGCTTAAGGAAAAAAAAAGATTTCATTTGGAGAGCAACAGATTAAACTATGTTGAACTGTCTTTTTTTTTTTTTAATTGGAGGACTTCTTGGAAACTTTAATGTGCTAAGAGTTATGAATTTCCCAGAGAAGAATAGCATGTTTATGTCCCAAATTTATTTTATCTTCCTCTTATTCTTGGTTCTTTGGAATACATTTTGTTCTTTTTTAGTGTTTTTTTTTTTTTTTTAACCTTTGGCTTTGGTGAGAGATTGTCAACTTGCTGTGTGGGGAGCCTGAACTCAGGCCCTGTTCCTCATAGCTCAGTCCCTGGTCCCAGAACTCAGTCCCTGTTCGGGCACCACTTGTGCTGCTCCAGCACTGCCAAGGGTGAACCCCAGTGGGGGTGATGAAAGGATTAAGAAAAGACAGACATGAGAACAAAAGCTGGGTCTCGGTGGGACGCTGCTTCTGAGAGACAGCAACGACACTCACAAGCCGTGCCTTTATTTTCTAGCAGGTGCCACGAGGCAAAGTAAGGGCGTGATCAAGTTGTTTACAACATTCTCATTGGTTTCAATCCCACTCCACTACATGCACCTGAACTCTATCACTCAGGCACGTGGGGCCACGTGTTCGGACCACAGGCTCAAGCTTACAGCTATAGCTGTTGGCTATAATTGTGCTGGGAGGGTTCTGCCATCCAAGCTGGAACTTGCATGTGGCAATGAGAGGACTGTGCCCTCTCAGTAGTCCAAGGCTTGAACCTGTCCAAAACACTGTGGCTGCGCCCCACATTGCTGAAGCTACCCGCATCTTGTAACAGTTTTTGCTGTTTTTTTTTTAAATAAATGATGGTGTATATAAATAGACTTTTTCTAAGTGAGGTTATATTTAAAAGCAGTAAGGGAGCTGCAATTTAAAAGTATCATGAAATGAATCCTTAAAAAGCTTTTTGTAAGTATACTGTCTAATGACTTTGGGGGTAATTGAAGAATATTGAGACTGCTGCTAGGATGAGTCATAAAACCAGTAATATTAACATATCCTTAGAAATCATACTGGAAAATCACCCCGGTATTGCCGACATCAATCAAGGCTTAAAGGCAACAAGACTGCGGACAAAGACCACTAGGGGGTGCACCAAGAAAGCATAAAAAATGCGGAGACAAAGAAACAGGACAAAACTGTCAATGGAGGATATTGAGTTCAGAACCACACTTTTAAGGTCTCTTAAGAACTGTCTAGAAGCTGCCGATAAACTTAGTAAGGCCCTCGAAAAGACTGGTGAGACCGCCGATAAATGTAGTGAGATCCTCAAGAAATCTAATGAGACCCTCGATGTTGTGATAAAGAACCAACTAGAAATTAAGCATACACTGACTGAAATAAAGAATATTATACAGACACCCAACAGCAGACCAGAGGAGCGCAAGAATCAAGTCAAAGATTCGAAATGCGAAGAAGCAAAAAACACCCAACTGGAAAAGCAAAATGAAAAAAGAATCCGAAAATATGAAGATAGTGTAAGGAGCCTCTGGGACAGCTTCAAGCGCACCAACATCAGAATTATAGGGGTGCCAGAGGATGAGAGAGAGCAAGATATTGAAAACCTATTTAAAGAAATAATGACAGAAAACTTCCCCCACCTGGTGAAAGAAATAGACCTACAGGTCCAGGAAGCGCAGAGAACCCCAAACAAAAGGAATCCAAAGAGGACCACACCAAGACACATCATAATTAAAATGCCAAGAGCAAAAGACAAAGAGAGAATCTTAAAAGCAGCAAGAGAAAGAAACCCAGTTACCTACAAGGGAATACCCATACGACTGTCAGCTGATTTCTCAACAGAAACTTTGCAGGCCAGAAGGGAATGGCAAGAAATATTCAAAGTGATGAATACCAAGAACCTACAACCAAGATTACTTTATCCAGCAAAGCTATCATTCAGAACGGAAGGTCAGATAAAGAGCTTCACAGATAAGGAAAAGCTAAAGGAGTTCATCACCACCAAACCAGTATTATATGAAATGCTGAAAGGTATCCTTTAAGAAGAGGAAGAAGAAAAAAAAAAGGTAAAGATACAAATTATGAACAACAAATATGCATCTATCAACAAGTGAATCTAAGAATCAAGTGAATAAATAATCTGGTGATCATAATAGAATCAGGGACATAGAAAGGGAATGGACTGACTATCCTTGGGGGGGAAAGGGGTGTGGGAGATGCGGGAAGAGACTGGACAAAAATCGTGCACCTATGGAAGAGGACAGTGGGTGGGGAGTGAGGGCGGAGGGTGGGGCGGGAGCTGGGAGGAGGGGAGTTATGGGGGGAAAAAAAAGAGGAACAAATGTAATAATCTGAACAATAAAGATTTAATTAAAAAAAAAAAAAGAAATCATACTGGATATAAAGTAGTTGTTAAAGAAAATTAAT